GGTAGTTCATAGGGGTAACAACCATGGTTTGAAACCACTGACTTAGTTCTGTAAAACAAAACCGTCCCAATCAGACCCAGTGGAATGCTAATTTGACCCAGGGAACTTGGGAGGCCAAGAAAGCCAAAGCCCTTATCTCCCTTGGCTCTGTGTTCTGAGTCGAAGCCAGCCCCATGGAGCAGAGCCAGGACCCAGTTATCCTGGTTCCCAGCAACTCATGTCATTTATTTTGCTAAGAAATAGAGTTGGTTTCTGTTGTTTGGCTACTAGAATTTCATAGGCTAGATTATTTGGGGTAACAGGATATCAGATTAATCATCTAAACCTCAGTCATATAGTAATGCGTAATGCTTTCTCCTCCTTAGTATAATTTTATAATATCAACTCTATTGGGCTTCCTGGTGGCCCAGTGGTAAAGAACCCGCCTGCCAAGGAAAGAGACACAGGTTCAATCCCTGGGTCTGGAAGATCACTTGAAGAAGAAAATGGCAACCCACTCCAGTATTCTTGCTGGGAAAATGCCATAGACAGAGGAGCCTGGAGGGCTATAGTCCATGGGGTTGCAAAGAGTCGGTCATGACGTAGCGACTGAGCCTGCACACACGCATCAGGTGTATTATCATATTACATAGAAAACTTAAGAATTCTGAAGTTATATTCCCCTTTCTCACACCTCCCCCCGTCACTCTGGAAGAGTTCTGAGGTTTGAGGAGGTTAAAGAGAATTTTCATCAGGAATTCTCATTGCATCACTTTTGTAATGAAACATTGTCCTGTTTTGGTGGCTTTATTAAAGTGATAGGCATGGGAAACCCACTTGGTACATGAGCCAAGTTGAGCCTGGTTTAGAAAAATCTGTATCTTACTTGCAACTTGTCTATATGGTTAGGCTTCGTACCGAAGTTCTGGTTTCTCTGTTCAAAAGGCATTAAGGCGTTAACCATGGAGCTGCCACCAGCACCATCACCACCAAGACCCTTCTTCTCTGCCTCCTCCAGTCTCGACTTCTGCTCTTGCAAGCCTGCTGAGTGCTGGGGCTGTCAGCCGGGGAAGACCACGGCTTTCCTGAGGGCTTCCTTCCTCTAGGCCGGCTGACATACTGGGGGAAGCCAGGGACCCAGGGTCCTGTGGGGACTGCACACAGAGGGTGTCCCAAGGGTTTGGTTATAAACTTATCTCAGTTGGCTTACAAACCCCAGGTAGGTTGTTTCTGGGCACTTTGATGTAAATGGAAATTACATGGAATTCTCAGCGTTTACATAGATGGGACCCTAACTAGGACTGGCAGCCCTGAGTATGACTCCTGGATGATTTTGGTTGCTGCTGTGAACCCACTTGAGACAGCGAGGATGCTTCCAGTGGGAATCAGAATATGGCCTGCCATTATGAGGCTAGTATACAGAAAGTGAAAGTGAAGTCGCTCAGTCGTGTCCAACTCTTTGCGACCCCATGGACTGTGACCTACCAGGCTTCTCCAGCCATGGAATTTTCCGGGCAAGAGTACTGGAGTGGGTTGCCATTTCCTTCTCCAGGGGATCTTGCCAACCCAGGGATCAAACCCGGGTCTCCCGCATTGTAGGCAGACGCTTTACCCTCTGAGCCACCAGGGAAGCCCAGTATACAGAATCAGAAGCCAAAAATGTGTAAGAACGTGTATTTTATAGTTCCTTTAAACTGACGTGTAACTCTTGTGTTGATGTTCGAAAGTAAAACAGTCTACCTCGTTTTCTTCCACTTGGCTGCTGTTAGCAGGAGCTCAAGCCAGCATTGTGAGACTCACGTGTCGAGGATGTGACATGCAAGTCCTTTGTCATCCTTAATTGTTTATTTGTTTTTCTCTCCCAAAATGAGATAAAGTTACCTATGTCCAGCTGCTTCTTCCAGCAACAGCAATCTGACAAGTTGAATTATTCTATTCATACACACACACACACACACACACACAATCTTATCTAGTGGATCTCATATGTATGATACATACACATAGATAAAAAGACAGGAGCTTTCCTGGTGGTCCAGTGGTTAAGGATCTGCCTTGCAATACAAGGGATACCAGTTCGATCTCTGATCCGAGCAGATCCCACATGCCGCGAAGCAGCTAAACCTGTGCGCCACAACTACTGATCCAGCACTGTAGAGCCTGTAAGCTGCAACTACTGAAGCCCACACACCTAGAGCCTGGGCTCCCCAGTGAGAGCGGCCACTGAAATGAGGAGCCTGCATATGACAATGAAGAATAGCCTTCACTGGCTGCAACAGGATAAATCTTAACACACACACATCCCTTAATAGACTTTGGACAGTCGAATGCAGTAGTCTGCAAGAGGTTCTGCTATCTCATTCTCATTACAAACATTATAGGGTATCTTGTTTAGGGGGTGTGTGTGTATGTATGTGTGTGTGTGTGTATGATGTCAAAGAACTGTCATATATGTACTGTCATTTGAAACACAACCAACACAACCCTGACCTTGTCTTTGGAACTTTACATACTTTTCTAAATCATCTCAGCATCCCCATGAGATCAGCTGAGTTGTTATGGTCATTTACATATGGAGAACGGGTTCTGAGATCCTCCTGAGAACTCAGGATTACTACGTATCGGAGCTGGAATTTGGATCCGAGCCTCTCTTAACTCCATAACCTGACTTCCTAACCATGACTCTTTCCTGACTGTTTAATTCTCATGACAGTCCAACAACACAAATTCAATTTTATCATCATCCCTATTTTACAGATGAGAAAACTGGGGTGAGGTGACTTAGCTAACGTGCCTATATTATTGGTTTTCTGGCTTTGATTGGATTCAGGCATCTTTTATACCAGTGAAGTTCTGACAGGCAAGATAAATATCTTAAAGTAATGTAGAGCATGGAATCAGTCCACCTGACCACCACATGGCTCATTTGGAAGGTTACTTTATCTAAAACCATAAAGGTAAACATAACTTTTTGCAAAAATAGTAATCAAAATAATTTCCTTGGAAAAGGTTATTGATAGGGGCTTATTAATAATACACAACAAATATTAAATGTGTATTAGGTGCCAGAGACTATTCTACATGTATTAATTCATTTTATCTTTCCAACAACCCTCTGATAAGGGTTCTGTTAGTCCCCATTTAACAGATAAGGAAACAGGCTCCAAAAGGTTAAATAACTTGGCCAGGCTTACACTGCTAGAAAATGGTAGCGCTGAGGGTTGACCCGGAGTCCATGGCCTTCACCACTCTGCAGGATCGCCATGTTAGTCTCAGTTTTGTGTTTGTTGCGTTTCTTTGATTTATCCGTGAAGTCACCCTCCTATCTTCCCTCGTGTACTTTGCTGACCATGAGGCAGACTGTCTAGGCACGTGGGGATACCTTTGTTATTACTCTCCTGTTCTGACATCTGGATTTCTCACAGGTCCGTCAAACGAAATACACTTTAGCATCGTTTGAAAAGTAAAAAAATAAGTCTTCTTTAGTGGTTAAGTGCATTGCTATTTAAGACTCATTTCTAGAACAATAGCTGACAAAATAAATGTAGAACTAGATTTTGGTGCCTTTTTCAAAAGTCCTTAGCCTTTGTTAAATAGGTTCTGGAAAATCTTTTTGTCTGATACATAGTCACTGATCAGATTTATCGTCCGTCATTCACCCACCTCATAATTGATGATCAGGACATGCTTCTCAGGTGTGCCTCCCTTGGCCCTGGGCCTGCTGCAACTCTGCAGTTTGTCTTTGTCAGGAGCCAATGTCTTATAATCACTTAACAAGAAAGTACTGTTGGTCAGTCATGGGAGAGACCTGGGCTCACTTGCTGCTTTCAGCTCCTGCTTCCTCAAGCACAGAAGATTCTGAAAAGAACAATAAAATTAAACTGGTGCAAGAAGTTGCTAACTCAGGTGAAATCTATGGAGTCTGTTTTGAAATCAGAATTTTTTTTTTTTCCTGTTGTTTTCCTTAGGAAGATCCCACGTCTTCTGATAAGTGCCTGAGCACCTTTTAGAACTGAAATTTCAATTCCCTTTTCTTTAGCAACTAAGATCTCAAAGCTTGCTTCTGCAAGGGAGTTTGAAAATCACAGAACTCCTCTTTCAACCTGAGGCTGTTTGCTAAACAAGTTGTCATATCTTTCAGAACGAGACATCTATTTTTTGAAGACATCTAGGTAGAAAACACATTTTAAAACATATGCATCTCTCACAGGGTTATTTTATTTTCTAAATGAGATGTGGAGAAGGGACTCATTCCATTCTCAAGAGAAGCTCTTTCTATCTGTTTGCAAGGGATAGAACAGGGTGGGAGAAATGGCTGGGACTTTGGATGTCATTTGTCCTGGGTTTGAATCTTGATCCATCATTACCATTACTTAGGGCTCTGAGCCTCCACTTCCCCATCTGTAAAATGGGAACTTTAATACTATAGTTGGGTTTCCCAGATGGTGCAGTGGTAAAGAATCCACCTGCCAATGCAGGAGACACAAGAGGCATGGGTTTGAACCCTGGCTTGGGAAGATTCCCCTGGAGAAAATGGCAACCCACTCCAGTATTCTTGCCTGGAGAATCCCATGGTCAGAGAAGCCTGGCGGGCTGCATTACAGTCCCTGGGGTAGTGAGGAGTTGGACACACCTTAGCGACTGAGCACACACAGTGCTGTGGTTATCTGTGAACAGAGAGGCCCCTTATAATTATCCGGAGTCGACATGATGACAACAACCTGATGATTTTTTCTAGCCCATAATTGAGAAAGAGCAAATGGTAACTTAATAGGTAATAATAATAATGAGACCATTAGGAAGCCAACAAAAGATTAATGATAGCTGTGAAGTATAGAGAGAAAGGCTGGAGTCTTGAAATTAGATGACTTTTAATCTTGACTTTACTACTTACTAGCTGAGTTGCCCTGGGCAGGTTATTTCATTTCTCTCAGCTTTGATTCTCTCTTTTGTAGAATGAGGACAATCCTGTTGGCCTTTTTATGTCTCAGAACTGTCAGGAGTCTCAGGGGAAATGACAGCGTGTGTTTTGTAAACCAGAAAGTTTGAACCAGCTTCCTGAGGTCTTGGGTGGGGGGTGGATGGGTTCTTTTTTGTTTTTTTTCAGTATATTTGTTTTTAATTGAAAGATAATTGCTTTATAATACTGTGTTGGTTTGTACCATATGTCAACATGAATTAGCCACAGGTATACCTATGTCCCCTCCCTCTGGGAACTCCCTCCCAACCAACCCCCCACCCCACCCCTCTAGGCTGTTACAAATCCCTGGTTTGAGTTCCCCGAGTCATGCAGCAAATTCTCACTGGCTGTCTGTTTTACATGTGGTAATGTACATGTTTCCGTGCTACTCTCTCCATTCATCCCCCCTCTCACTCCCCAACTGCCACGTCCACAAGTCTGTTCTGTATGTTTGCATCTCCATTGCCACCCTGCAAATAAGTTCATCATACCATCTTTCTAAATTCCATGTGTATGTGTTAATATATACTTGTTTTCTCTCTGTGACTTACTTCACCCTGTGTAATAGGCTCTAGGTTCATCTACTTCATTAGAACTGACTCAAATGCTTTCCTTTTTACAGCTGAGTAATATTCCATTGTATATATTACCACAGCTGCTTTGTCCATTCATCTGTCGATAAACATCTAGGTTGTTCTCACGTCCTAGCTAGTGTAGATAGTGCTGTGATGGGCACATGTGTCTTTTTCAATTATGGTTTCCTTGGGGTATATGCCTAATAGTGGGGTTGTTGGGTTATATGGTAGTTTTATTCCTAATTTTTTGAGGAATCTCCATACTGTCTTCCGTAATGGGAGGACACTGACAACCTGCCCCAGGGTCCCAGCCAGTCCAGCCACCTGTGTTTATATGTGTGTATCTTTGGATGCATCTAAGATGACTAGGTAACACACCATGTTTCCACAGAGAATGTTTCTGCAAAGCAAAAAATGAGATACTTTTTCTGGGAGAAATGTTTTCACAGTTCCTCTAAAGAGTCTGAGTGAGGCCTGGTGAGGAAATTTCGGTTATATTTGCAACTGGAGAAAGGTGAAAGTCAAGACAGGAATTTTTATTGGGAACAGTGAGAAGACGAATACCCTAAGAAAGGAAAAGGCCACGAGAAGTGGAGGGAAGGAGTTTGAGACTTGGAGCAGAATTTCCACTCTCTGTTATTAAACGTAATAATTCATGGTTTCGCATTTGGGGGAGAATAGTCAGCCATTGTGCTCCAGTGGAAAACATCCAAGGTTGAGATTCCAGAGAGTCTGGGCTTCCTCTGGCCCGGATTTGACTGGTGTCCAGAAGGAGAAATCACTGTCTTCTGCATGTGTGCAAAAGGGCAGGCGTCTGAATGGATATTTCTTCTTTAAAAAAATGTCTGTGATGATAAATGTGTGCCTGGGAGCTGGGGGAGCTGGGAATTCCTTGGTAATGCTTGTTTCTCATTTCTGTCCATGGTCCAGAGATAGATACCAGCCATATTCGAGGATGGAAACTCTTCAGCCTTGCCGTGTTCTCCTGCCCCTTGAGAGTCATGTTCTGTTTGAAAAGAGCTGAAAAAAAATGAAGGCTGCTCTTTCACTTGGGATAAGAAAATCCTTCTCAAAGCAATAAGGGCTCTGTGAGAGTAACAGGATCCATATGTTGAAGCTGGCTGCTAATACATAGCATATGGGCCAGCACACTTTCCAAGCTAGAAATATGCTTCTAATTCTCCAAAGAATGCCCCAGTAAACTCCAGAAAGGACCATTACTTCGGCAACGGGTGGCCGAGGCTCAGCTTCTGGGCTTCATTGGCCTGCTGTTCTTTGGAGTATGAGCCACAGATAGGGATTGAAAAGGTCCAGGTGGCCTTAAGATGGGTGGTACAGGCTTGTAGCCCTCTCCTATAGGGCCCTGTGCTCCCCCAGTATACCATGGGTTTGGTCTCTTCTGTTAAGCGATATGCATCCCATTGTTTGTTAAACTGAGTGGAAACATTTTATCTTCTACTGGCAAAGACAGCATTATGTAATGGAAAGAACACTTACCTGGGAGCCAGGTGGCCTGAACTCTGGGGCCACGCTGGCTTTCACTAGATATGACGCTAGGAAAGTCACTTTACCTCTCTTTTCTTTTTTTAGTTTAAAAAAAAAGTGTGTTTTTTTTTTTAATATTTGTTTGGCTCTGTTGGGTCTTTGTTGCAGCACGCACGATCTTTCATTGTGGTGCTCAGGGTCTCTATCTGTGGCCTGAGGGCTTAGTCGGTCCAACACATGTAGGATCTTAGTTTCCCAGCCAGGGATCAAACTCATGTCCCTTGCATTGCAACGCAGAGTCTTAACCACTGGGCCACCAGGGAAGTCTGTACCACTCTTCTCTGACCAGAAAATGAGGAGGTGGGACATGGTGATGGTTGGGACCCCTCCTGCTCAGGTCCATCCAGAATCCATCCAGAGGAGAGTGATGGAATAAAGCAGCCACAGCCAGACACACCTGCCCCTGCCACCCCGATGCTGTGGCCCCCACATTACAATCCACTGTAGCGTGAAACAGGTGGCCAGCCCAGGTTCGACGCATGAGGCAGGGCGTTCAGGGCTGGTGCACTCGGATGACCCTGAGGGATGGGGTGGGGAGGGAGGCGGGAAGGGGGCTCAGGATGGGGGACACATGTACATCCATGGAGGACTCACATCGATGTATGGCAAAAACCACTACAATATTGTAAAGTAATTAGCCTCCAATTAAAATAAATTAATTTTTTACAATTAAAAAAATAATAATCCATTGTAGCGCTGCACACTGCGGGTGAAATTCACAAAAGGCAGGGGGAAGACCTTTCATTGCTCTCAGGAAGAATTCCATCCTGGGTCTCAAATGAGTAATTGGAAGCAAACCGACTGCCGAGAGACAGGCGGCCCCTCCATTCCTATCATATTTCTTCTGAGCTGGCATTTGGAAGCCTCTGGATTCCTGCTTCATATTCTCAGAGTGGCGTGCTCAGCATCCTCGCCCAGCCTGTTCCTGACTTCTCACTCCTCCCCATTCCATTCCTGTCCCACCAAACCATCCCTTTCTCTGCAGCCTCTGCTGGGTTTTTCCGTGGGATGCTTTGTCTGTAGGATGGCGAGGAAGGCTGTGCCCCTGGTGGATATGTTGCCCCACGCTCCCCCTTGCCCGCCCCAAGCAGGCCCTTTGATCCCTGTGTTTCACTGAGTACAACCGTGGTTGCTTCATCAAATGAGCACAGACAGAGACCCACAGCGGCTCTGCCTGCAAGTCCGTCACCATGGCAACGAGTATTCCCTCTGCTCTACTGTGCAGAAAAAATGGCTGTTAAAAGGAAGGGCTTGCTGAGTCTCTATTACTCGGTCTGTTTTGTCCAGGCTCCTCCTTCCTACCGGCTTGCAGACGCCTCATGCATTCAACCAAATGTCCATTAGCCTTTAGCTTGCTGATTTACTTTACCTAAGAGGAGGAAAGGCAGAAAGAAGTTGGATCCCAATGAATAATAGCACTTCTCCTACCCTAAGAATACATTTTCATGAGCAATGGTTATCTGACTTAAGCAGATAATCGAGGAACCGGGTGAATACAAGAATCCATGAGATCCAGTGCAATGTGTTTTGTCTTAATGGGTGGAGTGGGCTGATAGAGCACGCGTGCGTGCATAGCTAAGTTGCTTCAGTCGTGTCCACCTCTTTGCAACCCTATGGACTACAGCCCGCCAGGCTCCTCTGCCCATGGGAGTCTCCAGGCGAGAATACTGGAGTGGGTTTCATGCCCTCCTCCAGGGGGATCTTCCTGACCCGGAGAGCAAACCCGCGTCTCTTATGTCTCCTGCATTGGCAGACAGGCTCTTTACCACTAGCACCACCTGGGAAGCTGGATAGAGCCTATGGATATTCAAGTCGAATGTAGTGTAGTAGCCAAGGGATGCAGGGGGACCACGGAGCAGAGACTCCAGCATTGCAGAAGAGTGACTGACTGATCGGGGTGACCATGTTTGATCGCTGTCTCCTCTGATGCAAAGAGATGGATTGATCCTTATAGTCGCAAGGGAGGTGAGTGTTTGGCATCCCCTCCCCCAAAAATAGGTTGGATCTTCACGTCGAACCCTTTGTGGCGGCTAAGCTCTATGGTGTGGGGAAGTGGCAGGAAGCCCTGTGCAGGGTTGTGGACAGCAGGCTTCCCTCTGAACACAGCTGTGGGGACCCTTCAGGTTGATGATGCACGTGCAACTGGCTGGGCTGCCATTTCCATGAATGAAGGGCTGCTGTTTGGAAGCAGGACACTAAGCTTTCTCAAAAGGTTGGGAACATTTAGGGCAATGTTCACCCCAGGTCTCCCAGGCGGCCTGCACTGTCTGATAGAGGACAGCAGTTGCACATGAAATGACCTGGATCGTGTCCACTCCTGGCTTTGGTGTGAGGAACTGTGATGACATGTTCTCAAAACCCAAACAACCTCCTCTTCGCTCTTTCTGGAAGTGGGCGAGGAGACTCCGTTTTTTAATGAAAGCTCTAGTTTCTGTCTCAAAACTGCGAACGTACGTTTAAACTGGACTTTTTGTCTTTTTCAGTTTCTCTGCAGGTGGATATTGTTCCCAGCCAAGGGGAAATCAGCGTGGGAGAGTCCAAGTTCTTCCTGTGCCAAGGCAAGTACCCCCATCACACTGCATCTCAGTAAACCCACTCTGCAGGGCAGAGGACACAGCTGCATCTGCTGGGCTGATGGTGTGCCTGGAATCTCAGCTCACTCTGTGACCTGGGAAGTGCTCAGACAGTCTCCCTTCCCCTGACCAAGTTTGCCCCGGTACAGTGAAATGTGCCCTGTGGACATCCACCTGGTGATGGAGGAGATTGAAGGATTTTCTTGGGAAAGCCAACACAGCCGCCAGACCCCTGCTCGGGGTGCCTCCAGAGTTCCGTGAATGACACTGGAGAGCAGGGCTGCTTCAGAACGAATGCTTCAGTGGGTCAGTGTCTGGATTATTAGGGTCTCCCGGAGCAGGAAAATACAAGAAGCCCTAAAATGTGCCTGAAAGAAAACTGAGTGCAGCCATCTCTTTTGTGGTGAGGACAGGTGTCCTGGGTTTTCCAGCTCTCCAGTGAATTCCAATATTCTGTCCCATTGCCCGCACCAGAGCTCCGAATTTGTCAAACCTGGTGTCCTTGTCTTCTGTTTAGAAAACATACCCCATTTCCACAGCTCAGCTAATTATCAGGAAATGTCCTGCAGAGGAAAGGCTTCCTGTGAGATTCTGGAGGCTCTGTATGTGACATGCCTGGGATTTGGAACATGAAAGGACCAGGAAAGAGCTGAGCTAGGTGTAAGCTGACATCCATCAAGCCGCTTTCGGCAGGGAGGGGTTTGAAATGCTGTCACGATTTGCATGGGATGAGGCGGCTCGTGGCCCGCTGGATGTCTTCCCTCCAGCTTTGCCTTCATTACAGCCATTGAAACGAGCCGGAGAGGCCACCATGGAGCCCACAGTGCATCTTGCAAAGAGCGATATCTGTTGAAAACATGATGGGCCCTGAAAGGAGGACTGCTGCCTTTCTATACTAAGCATCTGTGCCAGGCGGTGGGGTGGGGCTGCAGGCAGGGGAAGGATGCTGGGCAGAGAGGACGCTGTGCGAGAACCGTCCAGGATCCCAGAGCCCTTGTTGCGGCTCTGTCTGGACAGCTCAGCAGCAGCAGCGTCCGAGCCTCTGAGCTGCCTGGGGAAGGGGTGATGGGCGATGCTGGCTACCTTCTTTGGAGTATCTCAGCGGATGTGCTTGCCTGTCTGAGTCAAGGGGTAGGGGGGTGGGGGGCGGGGCAGTGTGCTGAAACACCAGTTTGTGCAGGCAGGCGGTGGAGCAAAAGTGGTTGGAATTTACACTCAGAGACTAGCGGGTATCTCATCTTCTATTTAGGAGACCATAATCTAAGCCCTCAAAAACAAGCTGATGAGTTGCCTAGCCAACTAGCCCTTGAGCTCAGATCCAGGATACTAATGCCCTTTGCCCCACAATCTGCCGGGCTATAAGCTACTAGTTCAGTGCCTGCACACAGTAGGTCCTCAGCAAATATCTCTTCCCTCACTAGGGACAGGCCCACTATGAGAAATATCAGCACCAATGTTTGTTGAGTTCTTTCCAAATATTAAAAGAGAACAAACACAGAAGTGACCAACGTGAATGGTCACACGCACGCACACACACACCTCCCACCTCGTTATCACACCTGATGAGCCCTTCCTCAGGAGCTCTTATCAACTAGCTACTGTCTCCTGGAGGGCTCTTTGTCTCTTCAGCATCAGTGGTTTGAAAATAATCTCTCCCTCTTCAGTGGCCGGAGATGCCAAAGATAAAGACATCTCCTGGTTCTCCCCCAACGGAGAGAAGCTCACCCCGAACCAGCAGCGGATCTCGGTGGTGTGGAACGACGACTCCTCTTCCACCCTCACCATCTACAACGCCAACATCGACGACGCCGGCATCTACAAGTGCGTGGTCACTGCGGAGGATGGCACCGAGTCGGAGGCCACAGTCAACGTGAAGATCTTCCGTAAGACCCCCCTCCTTCTCCTTCGGTATTGCCTGACCTCTCCTTTGGCCGGGAAGACAACACGGGTAGCCGAGAGTGGGGTGGAACACAGGGCTTGACTGGGCCTCTTTTCTACTTTTCTCTAAGTCTTTTCTGCATCAAGATAAGAGCTCCAATGTGGGTTATTTTGCTTGTTTTTGGTGCGTTTTGGGGGGGGGGGGCAGGCAGGGGCCTACTAGTTTCAAACTAAATTTATTATTTCATGAGGTACTCTATACAAGGGTTTTCCAGTAAGGAAAGGAATCTGCCTGCCAGTGCAGGAGATGTAAGAGACTTGGCTTAGATTCCTGTATCAGGAAGATCCCCTGGAGGAGGGCATGGCAGCCCACTCCAGTATTCTTGCCTGGAGAATCCCATGAACAGAGGAGCCTGGTGGGCTACAGTCCACGGAGTCGCAGAGAGTCAGACACGACTGAAGTGACTTAGCACACGCGCACACACTCTACACAAATAAGATGTTATCAGGGAGTTCCGTAGTGGTCCAGTGGTTTAGAATCCACCTGCCATTGCAGGGGATGTAGGTTCATTCCCTGGTAGGGGAAGATGCCACATGCTACAGAGCAACTTAGCCTATGAGCCACAGCTGCTGAAGCCTGCATGCTTTGAAAACCTGTGCTCTGCAACAAAAGACGCCACTGCAATGAGAAGCCCATACACCGCAACTAGAGTGTAGGCCCCGCAGCAACAAAGACCCAATGCAGCCAACAAATAAATAAAAACTAAAGTAAAATTTTAAAAATGTTTTAACAGTACGTTTCCTGAAAAGTTGTTATATTTTAATACCTATTTAACACACGTGTAGGTTGTATCAGGGGATTTGTATTTTTTTAATTTATTTTTTTATTGGAGTATGTTGTATTAGTTTCTTCTGTACAACAAAGTGAATCAGCCACATGTGTACAAATATCCTCTCCTCCATCCAGTGTGATTTTAAATGATCCTTGGCCAACTCCAGACTCACAACTGTGTTCATGCTGGCCACAGCTACCTCGCCCTGGCCTCAATTCTCTAAATGCACGTTACACCATTCCCATAGGGTGTGTGTTCCCCTCACCCTTCCCCAAGTGTTGACTGACTGTTTTACACCTCAGTTTATCCCCTCTTATTTCACTCTTTCCTGCTGGCAGTGGAGTGCAAAGGCTCGGTGGGGTGGGAAGGGTTATTATCTGAACGTTCTGTGCCACTCAGAGCAGATGGTTCCCATTGCCACTGAAACCAGTCTAAAGGTGGCATCTCATTACCTTATTATCATGCATCTGTCCTGTTGGCCAGGGTGATGGGGGGTGACCACTAATGGAACAGTATTGATTGCCATAGTATTTATTGCCATAAGCCTGCCTTTCATGTTCTAGTCTTCAAAATTCTCTCTGCCATAGGTGGCTGAGGTTGGGGTGTGAGGCAGACTGGGGGACAGAGAAAGGACTGATGGCTCCTCCTATGCATGGTAGAGCAGATGTCCCACCAGCACGTTGCGTTGCAGTAGCTCCATCCACATGGTAAAGACACACCTCTCCCTCTGTAGACCCTTTTCCGCAGAGTGATGAACTTAGCTCTCTGAACAGACAGTAACCGCCAAGCATGGATGAACACATTCCTCTTGTGCCATCCGCTTTGCCTGCATGTTTGGCCAAGTGACGGGTGGACCCCGTTGGGTGCCGCTGCATATGTGGACTGGAGTCCAAGCGTCAAGGCGCCAGTGAAAAGGGGGTTTTGTGGGAGAACCACTGTTTCCCCTCACTCTCCTCTTGCCCCCTTTTCCAGAGAAGCTCATGTTCAAGAACGCACCGACCCCACAGGAGTTCAGAGAGGGAGAAGACGCCGTGATCGTGTGCGATGTGGTCAGCTCCCTCCCCCCAACCATCATCTGGAAGCACAAAGGCCGAGATGTCATCCTGAAAAAAGATGGTGAGAGCGGGCAGCCGCCCCTTCCCCTGGGCCGCTGAGCCCCTCAGAGTTTCTACCTCCGCCAGCTGCTGAGGCGCCCCAGCCCAAGCTCAGACTCCAGCGTCCCAGAGCTGCATGCCGTTTCCAGGCTAGCGGTTGCATGTCTATAGCTTGTATGTTCAGGCACGTGACTTTCTCTCGAAAGAAAAATACAGATTTCCAGCAGACTTTTGCTCTTGGCTCTATGTCAGAGCCAGGGACATATTATCTTATTTCAGCTTAAAGCCTGTCCCCACTTCCAGCCCTCCACCCACTCCCATGAGACTGAAGGTAGGAAAAAGGCAAGGTTCAGCGCTCTGCCTGCAGGTTCCCATCCTCTGACTGATCCTGGGACAAACCTGCTTCTTGTCTTTCCTAGTCCGATTCATAGTCCTGGCCAACAACTACCTCCAGATCCGGGGCATCAAGAAAACAGATGAGGGCACTTACCGCTGTGAGGGCAGGATCCTGGCCCGCGGGGAGATCAACTTCAAGGACATTCAGGTCATTGTGAATGGTAAGGAGCCCTGGCCTTCCCACTGTCCTCACGGCTCCCGCCTTGGCTCGTCCACGTCAGCTGAGTCCACCCCTTCCCCCAGCCCACCCCCATCCTCTGCCTTGCTTATTTGTTTGTTTTTAAAGGCACTCGCTTTTTGGGTCTCCCTCAACTATGGGGACTTCCAGTGCAGTTCTGGAACGTCCTTCATTATCTTGGAGCACCAGAAACTTGCCCCATGCTTCCTAATAAATTCTGCCTTATCCTTCACTGTCCTTGATGTTACTGTAACGGTGAAGTTAGTCCCCTGGTTCAGTGTTCAGAGAAAATATTATTATCAATTCAGGCCTCAGAATTGTCAGAATCATAGTCCATCCGTGGGTTTATTAATCTTAATTTGCAGTGTCAAATAAACACACCCGTGGAATCGATCTGACATTTACAAGATGTTTAGAGGAAATTATAATGTCAGTACTAAGAAAATAAGTAAATCGTGGCTAAATTGTTTTACATATTGAAATGTATTTTTTGCCAAACTCTCTCTCTCATTCCTTTGGTAAAAACCAGTTTGTGCACAGAGTTGTTTAGGACAGCCCAAGAGAAATGTCACTCTTTGGTGAGCTAGTGCATTTCACATTGGTATTAACCATATAATTACTGAAAATGAAAACTTTGAACTTTTTCCAGTATTAAGAGCCCACCCCCCTTTAAATGTCAAGTTCTGCCAATCATGATAGTTAAGATGAGTATGCACTGATTGAAAAAATATATAATGATAAATAGCTACTGTAAGTTGAACACCACTTTAAAATAAGGAAGACATTAATACAGCTTCTAAATCTATATTTTTGAAAAGCAATATTATTATATGTTGTTATACATATACCATTACTAAGTATTGTTGGGAAACACTAATGCATGCTTGTGGGTGAACTATTTATCCAATTTACAGTAATTGTTTAGTACACACCTGCATTTAGACCCCTTACGCTAAAGCTCTGCAGCTTCCCAAGCCCTTAACCCTCTGACTCGGGGTCCCCCAAAAGTGCCTCTTCTCCAGGCCACCGAGTCCTTTCAGGTTTTCGCAGCCCCCGCTGACAGCCCTTCTTTCCTTCAGTACCACCCACCGTCCAGGCCAGGCAGAGCATAGTGAATGCCACCGCCAACCTCGGCCAGTCCGTCACCCTCGTGTGCAACGCCGAAGGCTTCCCGGAGCCCACCATGAGCTGGACAAAGTAAGAAACCGGCTTGAGGCTTTATGACTGACTAGCGGAGGAGACCTGGCAGGACCTACTGTGCTGGCGTTTCCAGGGAATGGGGTGGGCAGCTGAGAACCAGCAGCTCCGAGGGCAGAGTGGACTCTTCCAGTGAGGTCTGCTTGCCTTGCGTGTGCATTGGATTCCTCCATCTTCAGTCTGTGGGGCAGAACCAGAGGCCCTCTTTGGAATTTTGGAGGATGCCGTTTGCAGCCCTTAGGCAGAATCGGAGATTTGGTTAAAGGAATCACACAGAAAGAAATAGCATTGAATGTCTTAACTTTCCGTGCAAGTTCAGTCTCTGACATGCGTTCAGTCTGCATTTTATGGAAACTAACTAAATATCAGCCTCTCAGCTCTGTCGTTAAAATCGCGGTCCTTCCCGTTTCTGTGCCCGCAGGGACGGGGAGCAGATAGAGAATGAGGAGGACGAGAAATACGTCTTCAGCGACGACAGCTCCGAGCTGACCATCAGGAAGGTGGACAAGAGCGACGAGGCCGAGTACGTCTGCATCGCCGAGAACAAGGCGGGCGAGCAGGACGCGTCCATCCACCTCAAGGTCTTCGGTAAGGACAGAGCGGCCAAGGTCATTGCTCTGCCTCCGTTTCTCTGACCGCTCGCCGTCCATCAACAAGACCCTGTCCACTCGGCCTGGGAGGCTGCCCCCAAAGTAGCCGCTTCTCTCCAGCTCCCACCGCCTCAGCCCGATTCCAGGCCATCTTGGTCCTCACCTGGTCAATGAGACCAACTCCCAGCTGATCCCCCCGCTCCCCATTGTCCCCCTTATCAGCCTCCCCCACTCCCAGTAACCAGAACAACCTTACATGCCACTTCTCTGTTTCAAATCCTCCAACGGCTTCCTGTTGGAGGTATAAAATCCAGACTCCTCTTTGGGGGCAAGACACTGTATCTGCGTTCGCCCTGACTTCCTCCCTGACCTCATCATCCCTCCACACTTGCAGCTCTCCAGCCCCGGAAGCCCCCTTCCTCTCCCTTAGACACACTAAGCGTGTTCTCTGTCTCAAGGACATTGCTCCAGGTGCTTCTTCCGCTTGCAGCCTCATTCTGCCAGATCCCTTGCAAGCTGCCGTCTGCTCATCCGTTATCCAGATCTCAGCGCATCCTTCAGATCACCTTCTCAGTGAACCCTGCCCTCCCTGCTCTGACCCACGCTTCTCCCTTATCACTGCACCCACCCACTCCACTGACCTCTTCTTCAGTGCCCTTCTCCCTGCCTGAACTGATCTCGTTTGCATACTGGTTTGGGGGATTGCTTTTCCTGCGTCCACTAAGCATGTGAACTCCAAGATGGCAGAGCACCGGCTGCCTTATACATCACTTTATCTCTGGCTCTCCAGACAGTGCCAGACTTCATAATAAGTGGGAAAAAAAAGTGAAAATGTTAATCGCTCAGTCATGTCTGACTCTTTGTAACCCCATGGACTGTAGCCCACCAGACTCCTCTGTCTATGGAATTCTCCAAAGAGTACCGGAGTGGGTAGCCATTCTCTTCTCCAGGGGATCTTCCCGACCCAGGGATTGAACCTGGGTCTCCTGCATTGCAGGCAGATTCCTTACTGTCTAAGCCACAAGGGAAGCCCATAATAAATAGGCCCTTGTTCAGTGTTAGTGACCAAATGGCTGCCTCTGTCTCCCTTTCTTCCTTCCCTGACCTGTGTGAAGCAGGATTAGAAAAGTCATGAAAAGAAACTCTATATCTCTACTCACTTTGTCTCTATAAACTCAGTTAACTTCCATTCATTCAGAGCTGAAGTGCATTTTGACCTGACTTTGAAAAACGAATTTGTGGCGGAGAGATATTTAACCTAGTGACTTTCCGCTCTGTCGGCTCATCTTTTCTAAAAACAGATCAGGAGTCCAGTGTAGATGGTGCTGCCAGAGAACAGACACTGCAGGGGCATCCCTGATGCATGCAGCTCCCAGGTGGTTATAGCGCATGTCCTGGGGAACCTTGCCTGGGACCCGCTCGTTTAGTTCAATAAGGAGAATGCACTGATGTTTGTAAACACAGACCTGTGAAAACCAAGCATTTCTGCTATCCTAGATGGATCCTGCTTATTCATTAATGACAGTTGGACTTGGAAACAGGTTATCAGTTGGGTCGAAATTAACTGTGCATACTTGCGAGTGCAGCTAAATTTCTTGGAAAATATTCTTGACGATGTTTTCTCTGATTTCGACGGGTCTACCTCAGACTCTGATGTTAAGTTTTTCTAGATGAAAGACGGATGCCTTTGTTAATATATTCCTTCATTTCACAATTTCTAAACCGGAGTATAATTCCTTTGCAGTGTTGTGTTACTTTCTGCTGTAAGACAACAAGGACCAGCCATATGTGTACATATGTGCCCTCCCTCTTGGGCTCCCCTCTCCCGCTGCATCCCACCCTGGTCCTCACAGAGCACTGAGTGAGCTCCCTGTGTGATGCAGTGCTCCCACCAGTGTCTGTTTTACACATGATAGTGTAGATATGTCAGTCCTGACCTTCCAATTGGCCCCACCCTGTGTCCACATGTCCTCTATATCTGCGTCTGTATTCCTGCCCTGAAAATAGGTTCATCAGTACCATCTTCCTAGATTCTATATATACACATCAATGTATGACATTTGTTTTTTCTTTCTGAGTTACTTCACTCTGTATGACAGACTCTAGGTTCATCCACATCACTACAAATAATCCGATTTCATTCCTTTTCATAGCTGAGTGACATCCCATTGTATACATGTACCACATCTTCTTTATCCATCCATCTGTCAGTGGACATTTAGGTTGCTCCCATGTCCTGGCTATTTTAAATAGTGTTGCAATGAACTTTGGGGAACCTGTGTCTCTTTGATTTGTGATTTTCTTAGTCACTCTGATTTTAAGTTTTTCTAGGTGAAAGACAGACGCATTTGTTCATGTATTCCTTCACTTCATAATTATTTACTGAGTACCCTTGTTGCTGGACAGAGGGGCAACAGAGATGAGTAAGAAAAGGTGTTTCAACCCCAAGAAGCACAAAGAGGGACATAAATATATATGCCTATAAATTATAGTAAGTGATGAGTACCTGCCATAAGTCCAGGCATTGCCAAGGTTACAAAGATGAATAACATACACTCTGTTTTCATCAGTGGGTTCATAGGCTAACACAGATAATCATAAAATTGTTAGTGACAACCTATTATGATGACTTCATAACAGTATACTTTATAAGTATAAAGTAGGAAGTGACAAATAGATTCAAGGGATTAGATCTGATAGACAGAGTGCCTGAAGAACTATGGACAGAGGTTCATAAGATCGTACAGGAGGCGGTGATCAAAACCATCTCCAAGAAAAAGAAATGCAAAAAGGCAAAATGGCTGTCTGAAGAGGTCTTACAAAGAGCTGAGAAAAGAAGAGAAGTGAAAAGCAAAGGAGAAAAGGAAAGATGTACCCATTTGAATGCAGAGTTCCAAAGAATAGCAAGGAGAGAAAAGAAAGTCTTCCTCAGTGATCAATGCTAAGAAATAGAGGGAAACAATAGAATGGGAAAGACTAGAGATCTCTTCAAGAAAATTAGAAATACCGAGGAAACATTTTATGCAGAGATGGGCACCATAAAGGACAGAAATGGTATGGACCTAACAGCAGCAAAACATATTAAGAAGAGGTGGCAAGAATACACAGAAGAACTGTACAAAAAGATTTTAATGACCCAGATAACCACGATGGTGTGATCACTCACCCAGAGCCAGACATCTTGGAGTGCAAAGTCAAGTGGGCCTTAGGCAGCATCACTACAAAGACAGGAGAGGTGATGGAATTCCAGCTGAGCTATTTCTAATCCTAATAGCTGAAAGTGCTGCACTCAGTATGCCAGCAAATTTGGAAAACTCCGCAGTGGCCACAGGACTAAAAGGTCAGTTTTCATTCCAGTACCAAAGAAAGGCAACACCAAAGAATGTTCAAACTACCCCACAGTTTCACTCATTTCACATGCTAGCAAAGTAATGCTCAAAATTCTCCAAGCTAGGCCTCAACAGTATGTGAACCGAGAACTTCCAGATGTTCAATCTGGATTTAGAAAAGGCAGAGGAACCAGAGATCAAATTGCCAATATCCTTTGGATCATTGAAAAAGCAAGAGAATACCAGAAAAATATCTACTTCTGCTTTATTGACTATGCCAAAGCCTTTGACTGTGTGGATCACGACAAACTGTGGAAAATTCTTAAAGAGATGAGAATACCAGACCACCATACTTGCCTCCTGAGAAACCTGTATTCAGGTCAAGCAACAGTCAGAACCAGACATGGAACAGCGGACTGGTTCCAAATTGGGAAAGGAGTACGTCAAGGCTGTATATTGTCACCCTGCTTATTTAACTTCTCTGCAGAGTACATCATGCGAAATGCCAGGCTGAATAAAGCACAAGCTGGAATCAAGATTGCCAGGAGAAATATCAATAACCTCAGAAATGTAGACACCACCTTTATGGCAGAAAGCAAAGAGGAACTAAAGAGCTTCTTGATGAAGAGGAGAATGGTTGAAAGAGGAGAATGAAAAAGCTGGCTTAAAACTCAACATTCAAAAAACTAAGATCCTGGCACTATCACTTCATGGCAAATAGATGGGGAAACAGTGGAAACAGTGACAGACTTTTTTGCGGGGGGACTCCAAAATCTCTGCAGATGGTGACTGTAGCCATGAAATTAAAAGATGCTTGCTCTTTGGAAGAAAAACTATGACCAACCTAGTTAGCATATTAAAAAACAGAGACATTACTTTGCTGACAAAGGTCTATCTAGTCAAAGCTATGGCTTTTCCAGTGGTCACATATGGATGTGAGAGTTGGACCGTAAAGAAGGATAAGTGCCGAAGAATTGGTGCTTTTGAACTGTGGTGTTGGAGAAGACTCTTGAGAGTCCCTTGGACAGCAAGGCGATCAAACCAGTCCATCGTAAAGGAAATAAACCCTGAATATTCATTGGAAGGACTGATGCTGAAACTGAAGCTCCAGTACTATGGCAACCTGACTGGAAGAGTTGACTCACTGGAAAAGACGCTGATGCTGGGAAAGATTGAGGGCAGGAGGAGAAGGGGCGACAGAGGATGAGATGGTTGGATGGCATCACCGACTCAATGGACATGAGTTTCAGCAAACTCCAGGAGATGGAGAAGGACAGGGAAGCCTGGCATGCATCCAGGCTCTGAAAACCATTGCCATGATTTACATTTTAAGATTACAGGATTAGCCAGAAGGTTTTCAGGAAGGAGAAACTGTGCTCAAGCAGGATACATTGTTGTTCTATAATCCTTAGTACAGAGTTTAAACTGAGCTGTTTGTTGTGAAACCATCAGTTCCAGGCTTAAAGAAAAAAACATTTTATGTGACTAAGAGGAAGGAATGTAGAGAAAAAAAAGACATTTGTCCTTTCCTCCTCCTTGAGAATTCCAGACCTCTGTCTCTGCTTTGAGAACCCTAGATCCCTTTCTCCTTCTCGGGGACCCTGGACTTCCTATCAACCTGCCTAGGAATTGACGCGCTCAATAGGTGTGTATGTCTAATCCATATTATATGTGGACATGAATTCGAGCAGACTCCAGGAGACAGTGAAGGACAGAGGAGCCTGGTGGGTTTTAGTCCATGGTATCGCAGAGTCAGACACTCAGTGACTGAACAATAACAGCAGCGGATGTCTAATCCAGGTCCACACTCCTCTGCAACATCCGGAGCAGAGTTCACGTGGCCTCCTTGGAGTAACCTGGTCCCCGTATATGCCCTCCTTTCTCTCTTCATTCCACATTCTTGATCTCATTTCTGTCCTCCTCCTTCCGGCCTCTCCCAGGGGTTTAGGACATCAGTGCTAGGGCCTGGGAGCCAGGTGAGGTGGGGCTAACTAGGTGGAACTTCATCTTTCCCCAACCCCTTTCTCCTCCTTGGCCTTCTGGCTTGCCATCAGGGACCAGCATTAGGGGAGATATGGAGTAGGTTTCCAAGAAGCAGCAGGGTCACAGCAGTGAGGTAGAAGAGGAAAGAAGCCTGCAGCTTAGACAGTGAAGACATGTGCAGAACTGTGGCTTCAAGAAGGGCTGGCAATGAGTGTGCAAGGGCTGTATCCAAATTAAGGACTACCATAATTGTCCTAAGCAATACCATCTTTTCCTAAAACAGGGACATGTTCCAGCATGCGCTGCCCTAGTTATCAACCAGAAGCTCTTTTAACTAAGCCCATCCTATCTACCTTTAAACTTGGCAGTGCATTTCCACTGCTTCTCCTGCCATGGGACCTTCTGAAGAAGTAGTTTTGTCTCAACAGATTCTTATTATGCTTCTACCAATGCTCTCAAGGTCTGTGCTGCTCTCTGGGCTTGGACTGAGGCGAGTTTACCAATGGGCAGAAGCTTTGCTTAGCTGACCCCTTAGGACCAAAGCAGCCCATGTTAGTTGCAGTGACAGACAAACAGGTGCCTGAAGGAAAGGGCAGCTGGTCACACCCAGCATCTCAGTGCAGGGGAGTAGAGGCCCTGGAGCCCTCCTTGGACTTCCAGGCGCCTGGGCTTGAGTGAGAGTGGGTAAGTCTGGCCCTCAGTGGCAGGTGCAGAACCATTGATGTGCTGGGTGGGGAAAGCAGGCATGCTTAGAAAACTCACAAGCACAGCTGTGCTCACAGGGCTGCCCATGGGGACAGGTGCAGTGGGTCAATCTAAGGCATTAAATCCCATGGCGGCAGGTGAAGAACAGAACAGATCCAAAGTCAAGGGCCAACAACAGTGCAAGTATCATTCGCAGATAAAACCTGAAGAGATTCTTCTAGACGCTGGTGTGCAGAAGGAGGGACTCTTTCCTGAGCAGGGTGACCCCACACTGCCCCTGTCTGCTCAAGGATGCCCGTTGTCCCAGAGTAATTATTTATAGCATGCCTTTGACTCTCAAGAAGGCCCCGATTTGGACAATAAATTATATTGTTATCCGGTTTCCAAGGCAGCATTCTAAGACTTCAGTTACTTCCAAGAGTAGCTTGCTTCTGGGGTGCAGAAAGGATTAAGTTAATGGTGAGTAGCCTGCCTTCCTTCCAACAGCCTCTGTAGACCATACAAAATTAGCCATTGTTACTAATGATTTAGTAAGAATACATTTTGCCTTGTTCTAAAGACTTATACAGGGCAACCTTTATAACCATCTGGGAAATGGAGTCACCAAGACCAGATATTCTTCATAGGTGTTAACTGTCCCTGATCTGTCTTCTGCTAACTTTTGCTGCTAGGACAAAGTGCTGTGGGGCAGGACAATATCCACAAACACTGTCTGGGTCACAGTGTCCACATAGCTTTCTTGGGGCTGCCCTCAGACCCCAGACCACCTGTGAGAGTTCAGTGACTTCAATTGTTTGGCTGATTTTTTTTTTTAACTTTTCAATTTGTGATTTTTAACAGAAAAGAAATGCAACTTTTATTTTACCTCTGTAAAACTTCTTCTTCAACAAAAACACTTAATACTTATTCCATCCAGCATGAGTTGTAAGTTCCTTGGAAGTTTTGTTGATCAAGATAGACACAGAACCTTCCTGGAGGAAAACCTCACTCATGTGAGCTCCATTAAATTTGTTCAAATTTGTGATCATTTGGCCTCATTGAATTAGATGTGCCTTGATGCTAACCTTCAAAAAGGATTTGCTCTAAGCAGGCTGTTAGGACAGATAAGCTGTAGGAGAATATTTGAATGATATGGGTCATTTCATATAGAAGTAGATATTTGCTATGGAAAATGCATAGCTCCATCACTGTTTTCTGTTTATTAAAATAGAATCAAGGCCTCAACTTGGAGGATATATAATAGGCAGTAGTTTTATTAGCCTACTTGAAGTTACTGTATGAATTTGAATATAAAGCAAATTCAGTCATTTCAAAAATTTTCCATACTTCGAATTTATTTATTATATGTTTATCTAGCCTGGCTTTTTTCTCTATTAGTGAAATAAGTTACATTTGTGCAGTGCTGTCTTTTTGATGGAAGGTTTAGCGATTTCAGAGTATAATTGTTTTAAATAGGGAAAATTCAATTTTCTCTAATGTTTTAACATTTAAACTCAGCCGTGAATGCCTGCGCTTTCTTGCGTTACCCAAAACATTTGGAAATGAACTCATCTCAACTCATCTTCTTCCCCAGCCACTCCCCGGCCCCCAGAAGGCCACCAACCACATTTCGTTACTCGAATTAATGCTAGCACAGCCCTCCGAGGTGCTCAGAATCTCCTGAGTCATTTGGTCTCCTCATCCCTCCTTTGGATTCTCCCCATCTCTACTTGCACTCCGTTCACTTCCATTTCCTGCAAAGCTTTCCTTCAGCATCTCTCTGGAAGCTGCCCCTTCTCTATTCCCTAGAGACAATGTTCAGGATCATATTGCATCATTTATCTGGAGGGGTTCCACGGCTTCCAGGTTGGTTTCTCCACCTTTAGGCTTTCTCCATCTTTAATTTTTCCCGGATTAACCTTCCTCTAACGCAAATGAGCATTCATTCCTCTGACCAAACACTGTGAGGGGGCCAGCAGGCACAGGATAAAATTCAAGCAAGCGTTGTCACCAGATGATCAAGACACTGTCTGCCCGGATGCAGCGCTGTCTCCCACTGCTTTGAGGCACAAGCCCATGGACCCTGACACTCTGCTCTCTTCCCCACTCTGTCCTCACACGTTCTTGCTTCCTTGCTTTCATTCACATGGCTTTCCACCCTCAGAATGACTGTGTCCCCGCTAAGTTCTACCTCCTGAAAATCTCACAACCCAGCTCCAAGGCTGTCTCCTTTTGAAGACTCAGCTGGAGGCGGGCCCGTCCTCTGCTTGGGCCTTTGCACCGTTGTGCTTATTGCTGTCACCGTACAGGGCGTTGTTGTTACTACTGTCACTTTGGTGTTGACACATACCTGCTTCATTGTCAGCTCCCCGGGGAGTTCAGCTCGTTATCTTGTGCAACACCTAGATCAGGGCTTTAGGCTTCATAAGTTAATAACCTCATTGGATAGGTGCACTTATAATTCAAACCTGGAAAGCTAAAAATACATCAGGTAAACTCACAGAAATGTTCTCTGTTTTCAGCAAAACCCAAAATCACCTACGTAGAGAACCAGACTGCCATGGAACTAGAGGAACAGGTCACTCTTACCTGTGAAGCCTCGGGAGACCCCATTCCCTCAATCACCTGGAGAACATCCACCCGAAACATCAGCAGCGAAGAAAAGGTATAATATCACCCAAGAGTTTCAGGGCCATGGAACTCAGGCCCGACCCGGGCTCAGTCTGCTCCATGCCCAGCCCTCTTCAGTGAACCAGAAAATAGGGTGCGGTCACTGGAGGTCACCGCCAGGTTCTGTGGGCCCCCTCCTCCCGCCTGCCCTGGCTGTGGCCTACTCGGCATCCCCTTGAGATGGAGGAGGCACAGTTCCTTGCATGGATCTGCAGAGGTGTCATGTTAGTGGGTGTGGGTAAGTTAGACATCCTGAAGAGGATGGAGATAGGGATTCTCCAGTGCACAGTTAGGGAGCTGGGGAGGGACGGGGGAAGCTGAGATCCTGGTGCCCTAGGTGCTATTAGCTTCATCTCAGGAGCACCCAAGGAAATGTCTCCCAGAACTAATAGGGGTCAGAGTGAGCCTATTAATTCTTTTCCTTGTGATGTGTATATTCATGCTCCACATGCACTATATGCACAAAAGCTTGGTTGCCTTTCTGTCTGCCTGTATTCTCAGTCACATTTGGGTATCATTTTGTTCTCAAGGCAAAAATAATTAGCAGTTTCTACATGAGGATGATTACACCAGGTTCTGCAAGATAGTCTCTGAGAACCGAGAAACACTGCAGCAACGTTCCTGGCAAATTTAAATGACTCGTAAGATATAGATTCCAAGCACATGGATTTATAGGTCGCCGGAAAGCTGTCTTTATTATTGACAATATATGAACATTGAGGTAACCCCATACTGGGCAGCCTTTTGCTATTGAGTGGGCCTAAAGGCAGGAGGAGGAAGAAGCTTGGTTTTAAAGCAACTTAAACCATCTCATGGCACTTCTCCAATCTCTTTTCATATATCCTGCAGTAATGGGCTTTGTTTTAGTTAGCCACAACTTTGTCACCTCTTCAGGAGTAATAGTCATAGCCTTAAAGAACATTTATAATGGATTGCTGATTGACCAGAATGTCAGAAAATGATAGATCATCACTCTTCTGTCTGCATAAGGAAATCCCTAGAGAGAGTAGACTCAAATAAAGCTAAAAAGGGAGAATGTGAAATTTCAGAGCCAAATTTGGAAGTTGCATTTGAGCAACTGATTTCTCTACTACTAATAGAAGACAAAGCTAAATCAAGAGGAACAGAAATTGCTGTTCCAAAAAAAAATCCATTATTTTTTGCAAGTGTTACCTCCAGAGTTGAATTCAGCTTCACCGACACTCAGCTGAGGAACTGCTAAGTATTTTTGAAACTTGCATATGCTGTTTGATATTGTGAAAACCAACTGAATTAAGTAATGTGGTGTTTACTTGGATACATTCTTTATCAACATTGGAATTAAACCCTCAGCCCAGATTTTTAACTCCCATCATGTGTGTTACGTGGATTGAATGTACATCTCAGGGCTCAAACCACAGGGCTGCTGCTTGGAGGATTTTTCTGTATCAAGCTTGAGAGTAGATTTGTCCAGAATGACCCAGTGTACGTCTCTGACCTAAAGTGAAGGACAGAAATAACATCTACCAGATTAATGATGGTTTTAAATTCTATATCTTTTCTAGGAATAGCTCAGCAGCCAAGCTAGACCAGAAAGGTTATTGTGATTTGTGCCTACCTCAGGTCCTTTAATAGGTAGATACTTCTGGCTTGTACCTGTGAATTCATTTTTACAGAATGAGAACAAAAAGCTAGTCACTAATACACCCTCATGCTTCCTAAATATTAAAACCAAACGTGTCCAGCAGAGACCATCTCAAGCCAAGGAGGCTTTGCATAATTCAGTTATCAGTGTAGATCATTAGTCTCAGTCTGAGAAAGTATTTAAGCCCAGCTACATAGCTTGTGTTGTGCTTTCTTTTACTATGGACTGCCTTCAAATGACATTACTGAAACCAGAATAAGTCTTCCAAACTGGCCAGTGATGTAACCTCCGATCAGCATATTTGCCTAAATGAAACCCTGTAGAGAAAAGTTGCCATTTCTATTAATTATATATTGACATCAAAACAGCCTGGCAGTCATCTTACACTGGGAGTGGCTAAAACTTTAGGAAACAGAGATAGCCTGTTTGTGAGCCAGTTGATCTCCAAATAGTAAATATTACTTTTATCTGGCAGCCACTCCTCATTGTCTCCTGTGTCTGAAGTTGCATGATAAATAATTAGGTATCAAGATGATTAGCAGAGTCACAGAACTGTAGGAGCAGAGGCAAGCCATTTTCTTTTGCAAGTCAAGATTATGCACTGAGCTAAGAATAGACAGTTGTGTCTACCGGCAAGGGCAGGAGGGCTCCTGAGAAGTAGATCCCATGACCTGCCAGAATCCCAGAAGGTTGGAAGGAAGCCTCCTTTGGAGGTTGTCTCGTCTCGCTGCCAGAAAGTCCCTCAGCCCCTGCTTGAAGGGCGACAGCGCCAGTCCTCTGCAGGGCAAGAGGTAGCCCCGATGCTCAAGAGGGCCTGCTGCTTCCCAGCCTTGCCGCCCTGCCACTGGGTCCCTTGCTTGGGAACTGCTGACCAGCCCTCCGGCGTTTCTCTAGTCGGTCCTCTGACCCTGTGACACTTCCGGTTATTTTCACTGCTGCTCTTACCTTATGGCCTTTATACCCTTCGCCTTTCCAGTTGTACTAGAGAGCTTCCCTTCACTAGCGTCCCCTCTCAGTTGGCAGCGCCCAGTGCAGCGGTCCTCCTCGCTTATTGCTCGCTTGGTCCGGACACGGACATCATGCAGTCAGCATCATGTTAGCCCTTTCGTAGCATCCTCATTCCGTTGTCTCCTATTGAGCTTGTGGTCAGCTAAAAGACCCAGCTTGTTTTGGTATGAACTGCATTTAAGCCACATATCCCCTGTCCTGTCCTGACTCAATTGATTGCCTAACTGATAATGCTGAATTTTATATTTGTTTCTATTAAAAATTGTTTTGTTTGTTGCAACCCAGTATTTCTCAACTGGGGGTCAGGATGACAGTTTGGGAAGACTTTCTTCACTGAGACTGTCCTGTGCATTGTAAGATATTTCCCACCACAGCTCTTTTCCCTTTAAGTGTTAGTAACCACCTCTAATCATTCTGATTACCAAAAACGTCACATACAGAAACACTCCTTGGCTTGAGAATGACCATTTTAGTCCATCTTGCTGACCAGTCAGGACTGGTTTTCATCAGAACTTTCCTTAGAGGTCTTTGGGTCCACAGTATTTCAGCCAGTGGGGGCTCCCTGTTTCATTTATGTGTGTTAAAAGTAATGGGGTCTAACAGTCAATGATGACCCAGATCTAAGTCCAAGACCCAAGGGCAGGTATTTCAGCCTTCCCCATACAACTGCTGTCCAGCATCTGTATTAGCTGTTGCTTCCAACCTTGTATGAATACTTATTTGAAATATCTTTGTCCAAGTCCTTGATAAAAATATTGACTGGGACAAAATCAAGTCCTGAGCCCTTAGAATGCCACCAGGGGTCAATGGCTCAGAGGTAGAGGGCATGATGCCATGGTGCTGTCTAATGATCCTGATGACTTTCTTGGGAGGCTCAATGCTTCCTTTAATAAAGTTAGTGACAGTAGACATTGATTAAGTACAGCTTTCTCTTTTGCTTCACTGCTTAGTTGAGTCTAGTATATATATCCTTTCTAAGAGGAGGGAGAGAAAAAGCTTTCAACCATGGAATTGTGGTGACTTTCTAATGGAATACTGATGTTCTTCATTCAAAAAAAATGAGAAAAAAAAAGCAAAAAAAAGTACAATGAGCCCAAAAGTCACATCATATCTTTGATAATGTCTAGCTTTAGTCCAATCACTCATTTCAGATTGATTATAATCAATTTGTTAGGCTTTAATTAGTTGAGTTGGTTTCACTCAACAACTGATAATAGCTAGGCTAAGGTTGGGGCACTAAGATCATTAGGGAATATCATCTGTCTGAAAGTTAATCCATTTCTTAGTGGTCACTAATATGTTGGCCAAAATTTTTGAATATTGTGATGGGTCAGTTTGATCTCTGTGTATGGAGGTCATTGTGATACCAAGAAAGTTTGTGCATCCGCATCATTTTATTACTCATCCTATTCAAACTCATTTTTTAAATTGCCAGGTATTTTAAAGACTCTCAGTAAGTGGCACTAAATTCCAGGTACTATTTATTTTAGTGAGTGAGACCCCTAGATGGTGATTTGCATCCTCTCTCCCTGACAGAACAGTCCATTGTCTGCTCATTTGAAAATCTCTAGGCCTTTGAAGAGACTGAGAAAGAAAGGCTAGTAAAACCTTAATGTCTAAGGAGAAGGAGAGGCACAAAGTGTTGAGATCAGAAGAGACAGAAATAAGTAAAGGGCATTTCATGAACCTTGTATCTTGAGTTGACAGAGTATCCTACAAAAAAGAGAAACCTTTTGAAACTCTGGATTCCTTGGAGACTGAAGTCTTTTCATCAGGAAGAACTCCTTATTCAGTACAAATCAGGTGCTTACTCTTAAACACTGGATAAGGTGCCTGCATTGAGCAGTTAGAGTCTTTTATCTAGGATGTGGACAGAAGTCTAACAGGGAAAGCCTAGGATAAGTGTCTATCACTCCACTTTAGTTTGTATACATATTCCTACAGACTTGTGTGTAATATCATGAAACATGCAATGTTAAAAGCACCTGGAACTACAATTTTTGAAAAGCTAATCATATTCCAATTTGTAAGTGTATATTTGCATACCAGGTTATTTTAAAGTGGGCTACATGCCTTCACCAAATAATCAGGGTGAAGATGATCCTATCTGCTCTGTCATTGGTGCTGTTTGTCAGGACCTGGACTGATGTCCTTACCAAGTCCCCTTCCAGGAGGTGTGCTTTAGCCAGTTACAGAACTACCTCTGCTTTTCCCAACTAGGCTTACCAGATTTTTTTTTTTTTAAGTACAAGTGTGTCCCAGGTAAACGATGCATGGGGATCTACTTAATGCTAGACGTTTTAAATTTTAAACACTACACTAAAAATTAAAAAATTAGTCTTTGTTCATCTGAAATTCTATTCTAAGAAAAAAAAAAGATTTATCTTATTTTCCCACCAGGCACACAGGTGGAAGTTCAGGCTACTAGAAGCATTGTGTTACTAGCATCCACTTATTCTAAAAGCCACAAAACCACCACAGTGAGTTGAGAAAGACGCAGGACGAATCAGATCTGAAAAGCAAACAACTCATATGATGGAGTCTTGATTCGTGCAGCCCTGGCACGTGGCACACAAGCTTCTAAGCAATGTGGATATGGCAGCCACATGTGACATGTCTGCCTGCTGTTGCTCTGGTCCATGCGTGTTCCTGTTTCTCACTGCCCTCTTCACTCCACCATCCTGTGGCATCATCCACATCCCTCATTTCTCATGAAAGCTCCTTGCATTTAGTAGACTCTTCTTGCATTTAGTAGACTTTTACTAAATGTTTGCTAACTCATTCACATTCCTGGGATTGCATTGCTGTGTCTCTGGTGTCTCTTCTGTCCTTTTTCCATCTGAACCTCAGGGACAGTCAGGCAGTCAACAACATCAGGTATGATGTTTTTGACTCCCATCATGAAATCAGAAAAGCTGCAAGCAGAGTAGATTCCCCAGTGCTGGATAAATAAAAAATCTTGAAGTGGGTAGGAAAACACCCAAACCCCGCAGTGTTCCTGGGTTAGCTCACTCCTTTGTGAATGCCATGTTTGATGAAGATGCTTAAACCTGCATGTCATCCCTTTGCCTTTAAGAAGCTACTGGAACCTACCACAGCACTCAGAGTTCGATATCCTCAAAGCATCCTGCCCCGTAGTCTTAAGGGCATTCTTCTCATTCCTAAATATACCCACTCTGTTCCTTTCTTCATTCCTTTTTTTTTTAAATAAAAATTTGATTTTTGATAGTATGCATGCAAAGAGTTACAAAATGCATGAGCACAAAATAATATATGAATGATAAGCTGTCCAATCAAATCCAAAGGAGGAAACCTACTCTTCAAGTATCTCTGTATTGTGTGGTTAGAGCTAGCAGTGTCACCTAGCATGAGGAATATCCAAGGTATTTGGGAATAGGAGCAGTCTAATATGTCAGCTGGTAGCCATATGTATGTCTTCCAAAGATTAGGAGAGGCTTTACCTGTGAATTGTACACCTTGATGTGCATAAGGGGGGCAGAAAAGCTGAGCATAAGCTAAATCCTAAATTAAATTGGGCAGTGAACACACCATTGAAAGTGGGCCTTGGAAAAAGCTCTGAATTGAAAAGAAACTGCATGTGCACGGAATGCAGTGGGATACATCAGTTCTCTAAAGCAACATTGTAAAATTTTACTGCTTTCTTGTTGTGTTTTATATCTTGTTCTCTCCAGGCTTCGTGGACTCGACCAGAGAAGCAAGAGGTATAGCTTACCTGACCACTAGTCAGTCTTTAGTTTTGCAAGCACTACAGTTTAACTCACCATTGCAGTTTAATAACCAGACATGCTAAAACTAACTAGTAATTTAGTTTGATTAAAGAATAGGTCCATAGTGGTAGATGTTACTTAGCAATAGTGTCATTGCAGGATGAGCAAGCAAGGTGTGTTGGGAGTGGATGAACAAATCTTTGTTATTTCCTAAGACTGGATCTTATTCTCTTGCTGGTGCTGATAAAATCACACCCAGGTAATTATACTCAGAGAAATAAATGGCCCCAATTCCCAGGCCAGGCATTTTGAAATGATGAAATTTTTTGACTCTCACCTGGTTGATGTGGCTTTGGATCATAAAGTCACAGAGTTTAGTGATCTAAAAACCCACTCAGCCCTTACCTTTCCAGCTCAACTCATCTTGTTGCTCACTTATTTTATCATGATTGGTCTTGGTAAATTACCACATCACATTTCATCTCGAAGCAATGCAAATAACATCTCTCATTGGTTTTCCCAAATTGCTAAACACATCTATGTTACTTTTATAGAGCATTAAATTTATGAGATTAGAATGATGTGTCACAGATGATTCTGTGTGTGTGTGTGTGTGTGTGTGTGTGTGTGTGTTTAAGTCAGTAGCATATTTAGCCTTTGAAATTTCTCTGACTACTTGCTGCCATTTGGGCAATGTGGGACTTAGTTTGAAAACTGAGGTTAAATATTAATCTTTAGATTGTAATTGCTACGCACCAAGACCCTATTTAGGATTATGTCTACCATTCTTGACCTGCTTTGTGTGATTAAGTGACAGAATTGAAATCAAAACCAGTATGCTTTAGATGAAGTTCAAAAATCTAACCTGTAAAATATAAAGGAACCTTTTCTCTAGATGGAACTTAGATATTGTGTAATACCATAAATGTGGAATATGGCAATCCTGTGGACTATATTTTAATTGGGTAAACCCATCCCCCTAGTCTCTCAGAAATGATAATTATTCAGAACACATAACTCATGTGTTCAGGTCATGGCTATAAATATTTAATGCCGTTTAATATTTAAAAGTTGACTGCCTGTCCCCAGGCACCGATGGTAGTTTCTGCAGCCTGCTGTCGTTGAATCTAGTTCATTAGGAGCCCCCTTTGTATCATCCCTTCCTCCTCAGCATAGGGACTGTAGCTAGGCGCACAGGCTCACTGAAACACTTTCCTCCTGCAGCCCAGAGGTGCTGTCACAGACGGGGTGCTTTATTGCCCAGAAGTCACAGGCTCATTAGGACTGGGGATAGGAGAAAAGAAGGGTTCATTATCAGCCCCTCCTGAACCACTTCCCCTCTCATTCCACTTGGCCTTGCACATCTTCCCCTGTCATTCAGATTTAGGCCCAGCTAGAGGAGGAGCTGAGATTTATCAGGGAGCATTAAGGAGATGTTGAGAGGATTGCTATTAGTAGTGGAAGTAATTGGTTTACTCCTAGGAAAGCAGACACCTCACTCCCTTTTGCCAAAGTGTCCTTATCTTAAGTTATCTCGCTCTGGACATAATTGACTTTCAAGTGAGTTCTGCCCGCTGAGGCTTAGAAGCTCCATTCCTTTCTATTTGTCTCAGTCAGGAATGAAGACCATGAATCCAGATGATCTCGAAAGAAGGCTTGGGTTGTGACCAGTTTCACTCTGAAAGCTCTGGGAAGCCTTAGGACTTCTCCTGGCAAGAAGAGAGACAAAAATGTTTTGATGAGAAGAGAAATTATAATTGCCCTTAAGGATTTGTTGCAAAACAGGGTCTTCTTGCCATAACGATCTTTTCATTCATGCCCAGTTTATCTAGTTCCTTCTTGAATCTGGACCATCAGCCTGCCTGACGTCTGGTCTGGATGCCTTGGAGGGGGCGCTGTCTGACTCTGGCCTGGTGCCAGAGTAAATCATTTCAGAGGGAAATAGTCCAATCACCCTGGAGTCTGTCTGCGCCCCCTCGGAGGGAAGAACTGGGCATCTGGCAAGTAATCCTGTCATCAATCCTGTCTCGAGCCACCACAAAACTATAGTTCCCTGTGGAAGGCCGCCTGCTGCCCTGTTGACATCATTCAGTGAGAAAATTTTCCAGAGAGAAATTTAGACAGACCTGATAAAAGGGGGGAAAAAATAGGACTGTCAGTGCAGTCATTTCTCTCTGACCATTTTCTAGATTATTCTGAGTAAAAACTGCTCATGTCCCCCTTTCTGCTTGCTTGTTGATGTCCTTCTCTTAGCTACATGACTTTCTTTGCATCTTCTGCTGCTACATCCTTCCTTATGGAAATGTCCTCTTGACTTTGGAAAGATTCCGGTCAGTTTTCCTTATTTGTGGTGGTGGCCCAGGGACAAGTGCTGGGTATGTGACAAAAAATTATAGAGTTCAGCTTCTGGCTGGCGTTACTGTTGGCTGAACCTGTGTTCTCACTCTTCTATCTTTTGGGGAAATAGGAATGATGAGCAGGTCAGGTCAGCCCTCATAGATTCTGCAGGGATGACCTCACACTCCGGATGCCACAGGTTTAGGTGATGGGTCAAGATTTTGTTTGGCATGTGAAAGCCACCACTGCCATGGACCCTGTCAGCCCACTTGAAAAGGGTTTTCAGGAGCCAGTATCTTCAACAGAGCAGATGTCTCTGATTTTCTAGGCAGGCCCTCTACCCCAGCCCATGTCAGCTCACATCCGTGTGCATATCCTCTGGGGTGTAACTTCTCAACCAATCAGCCTACCTGGGGCTGATCACATGCCACCTGGGGCGGAGAACCAAGGCATCTGGGCACTCCTGTCAGAGAGGGGTGGCCCTGGCTGCTGCAGGTGGGGATGGTGTTGCTCAACTCTGCTGTCTCCTTGCTGGCAGTTGTGTTCCAGCTTCTGGATATGAAATGCGATGGGGCTTAAATGACTGAAATAGACTAGCTCTACCAGGGGTGCTGGGCTTCCCCGGCGGCTCAGACAGTAAAGAATCCGCCTGCAGGGCAAGAGACCTGGGTTCTATCCCTGGGTTGGGAAGATCCCCTGGAGGAGGGCATGGCAACCCACTCCAGTGTTCTTGCCTGGAGAATCTTCATGGACAGAGGAGCCTGGTGGGCTACAGTCCATAGGGTTACAAAGAATCGGACGTGACTGATCGGCTAAATACCAGGGATGACAGAGGGACTTCTTGTGGTAGATCTGAGGCTACAGTTAAGGCCAATGGTGTCTTGCTTTTGAACTCCCCAAACTGGCCTGCTTTATGACATTTCAGTACTGGATTTCGGGCTTCCAAACCAGCAGCTCAAAGGAACCTGAAGGCAGGTATTCTCTAGTTGTTTAAAAGCGCAACCTCATGGGATGACAGATGCTATAGGCAGAGTACTCACATGCCCCTGTCTGTGGAATACCACGCAGTGGACATGAAAGTATGGCCCAGCCCATGAGAAGCTAGACTCCTTCTTCAGATGACCCTCTTTCTTGAGGATCTGAACTCAGACCACATGCCCAGACTCTTCCTAGGCCAGCAACCATTTTACTAAAGAGTATAAAGGGGAAACCCCTAGGAAATATTCCAGTATCCATTGCCCCGGGCTCATATGCTGATTGCCTGTTTGACCAGTTCTTGTAATTCCAAAGACTCAGGAAGACAGTTCTAGTGTCACAGGCTAAAACATGGTAATTGTGGTGTCTAGGATCCTACATATGCCTGGGAACCTCTGTACCACCATCCCGGGAAAGGGGACACAGTTCCCCTCACTTCCAGGGCGACAGCTCCTGAGCTCCGGATTGTTAGACTTTTTTGGAATGAAATTGTTTTAGTTTTAAGCATTCAAGAAAATGAGGCATCTGCAGAAAGATGACTTTCTTGTATCATTTCTTTCATTTGGCACATTCAGATTTCCCATTAAGTGTGCACGCACCAGGGAACCAGCAGATAGACGGGAAGGAAAGGATGGGAGTGCAGGTTTTCCAGAACCTCATGAGGTGAGGCTGTTGCAGCTGCAATGCCTGCTGGCCAGACTTTGGCTTCCATTTCAGATATGCCAAGCCAAGCTGTCTGGGGGCCTCAGTTATCCTTCCCAAGCCAGTCTTGGCACACAGGCTAGGCCGCTGGATAAACTGAGACCCATTTTTCTGTTTGGGATGCACCCAAGTTCCCATGGTGCTCTCTGGAGCCTTGCTGCCACAAGTTGGTACCTAAAGCAAGACCTAGATGTTGCCACAGAGAGGGGAGAGCTGTGAGGCTGGTCGTGGGCAGCGATGCCTGGTCTCAGCGCCGCCCACCTCAGCCCCTGACGCTGCCCCTCCCCTCCCCGCAGACCCTGGACGGGCACATGGTGGTGCGCAGCCACGCCCGCGTGTCGTCCCTGACCCTGAAGAGCATCCAGTACACCGACGCCGGGGAGTACGTCTGCACTGCCAGCAACACCATCGGCCAGGACTCCCAGTCCATGTACCTCGAAGTGCAATGTGAGGAGAACGGCGGCAGGACGCGGGGCAGGGGGGTTTGCACAGGGTCGGGGTGACAGACCTGTCCTGCGGCGGTAGGCCCTAGGTCATCCCAAAGCTGTGTCTCCAAGGGACCCCCCCCTCACCATCCTCAGACTTACAGGTCTGCGTGTCTCCCCACGCAGCTCATGGGGAAAACCCCGATCCCCGCCTTCCCCCAGCGTCAGATTGGCTTCAAGGCTAGCCCGCCATCCCAGGGCCGGGAGCCAGAGTGGGGGGGACTCCGCGATCACAGCGGGCTTCCTGAGGGCCGCTGTCCTTCTTTGCAGATGCCCCCAAGCTGCAGGGCCCCGTGGCTGTGTACACGTGGGAGGGGAACCAGGTGAACATCACCTGCGAGGTGTTTGCCTACCCCAGTGCCACTATCTCCTGGTTCCGCGACGGTCAGCTGCTGCCCAGCTCCAACTACAGCAACATCAAGATCTACAACACCCCATCCGCCAGCTACCTGGAGGTGAGGCGGTGTGGGGTGGGGCGTGGTGCAGGAGGCGGGGTCTGAGTGTGCACCGGCTTGGGATGCAGCTAACATCCTGTCCCTCGCTTCTCTGACTCATCCTAAGCAGTGGAGCCATTGGTCAGGGAAGAAAGCCAGCCTCAGCCTGCCCCTTGCTCTCGAGGAGCCAGGTCAGGGCCTGGGGGGGAGCAGAGTGTCCCTTCCCCATGAGCCCCTTGTCTTCTTTTTTCTTTTTTATTGAAATATAGTTGATTTGCAATGTTGCGCCCATCTCTGCTGGTCAGCATCCTGGCTCAGTTATACACAGAGATGCATTCTTCTTTATCATCGTCTTTCCCATTGTAGTTTATCCCAGGAAACTGGATGTCGTTCCCTGTGCTATGTTGTAGGACCTTGTCGTTTATCCATTCTGTATGTGATAGTTTGCATCTACCAACTCTATGAGCTGGAGCTTTCCTGCTTCTATTCTTAGTTCAGTAAATAAGGATCTGAGGTTGTGGCCATTCCGTGGGACACTTGTAACCCAAGAGCTCCTTCTCTCTAAAGGTGACCCCAGACTCTGAAAATGATTTTGGAAACTACAACTGTACTGCAGTGAATCGCATTGGACAGGAGTCTTTGGAATTCATCCTTGTCCAAGCAGGTGAGCGCCCCTTCCAGCTACACCACCCTCACCTGGGCTGGTCCATTTCATGACCTTCTGTGATGACAGAAAGTGGGGAGAAGGGGAGTAAAGGTCAGCAACCAAAGGGCAGGGAGGCTGAGAGCTAAGGGGGCTTAAGGATCTGGACATGGGGTATGTTGGGAGGGAATTATATGGTGGGGTAGACCAGGAGATTCACGAGAGTTAAATGAGAGTCATGTTTCGTGATTGGAAGTTACGTCCTGGGCCAAATCCAGCTGACCTTGGTCTCCATCTGTGTCCTCCTCACAGACACCCCATCCTCACCATCCATCGACCAGGTGGAGCCATACTCTAGCACGGCACAGGTGCAGTTTGATGAGCCAGAGGCCACAGGCGGGGTGCCCATCCTCAAATACAAAGCAGAGTGGAGAGCGATGGGAGAGGAGGTGTGGCACTCCAAGTGGTATGATGCCAAGGAAGGTAAGTTCCAGAGTCGGGGTTTACTCGAGAATGATGTCTCCGGGCACGCACACACACCCCTTGAGTTCACTGGATCCTGGCTTCTGACATGACACCCCCCTGCTGGGGAATGCCAGATGCCACTGCCTGCCATCTGGTTGATGTCCCGGTGCTGCGGCGCCGTCACTGGCCCCCAGCCTTAGGGTGTGGTCACGTCTCATGTGGGGCTTTTGGCCTTCTGCCGCCCCGGCACTTCAGAACCTGGTTCTCATGACCGTGCCAGGACGGATGAGGCCGGCTCAGCTGCTGTCCAAGCAGAAGCCCTGCTTAAGTGCTGAGCACAACCCAGAGGAGTCCTGGCTACCCTGCTCTGCATATTTGGGTCCCATGTGCTTCAGGTTCTCTGCTCTCACCCATCCAGTCCTGCTTGGGTATGTTCAGGGATCACCATGTAATTATGACATCAACAGAGCCGGAGAGACAGCTCTTTTAAATCAATTCTATGATATATTTCCAAAGATCTGAAAAATGACCCTTGGATGACTGCAGTCATCCAAGTTTCTGAGCTCAGCTCATCTTGCCCTGAGGATTGAATGTGTTTACGTCTGACTCTCCCTTTGAGGTTTAATTGGAATAACTCAGTGAAGTAAGTTTTGTTTCCGTAGCAATTTTTAATCCCAGAAATGAGGGTAGAGCTGAGAATGGATTGGATTAGGATGCAGTGTCACAGCAATTCAGAGACATCTTCCAACTCAGTTTTACTGAGAACTCATCCTTCTGGGAAGCTCCCATCACTCCAGCTTTGGGGAGGGCTAGGAGGATTTTCTGCCTAATCAGGATTAGAACTGGAAGAAAATCATCCTTCACCTCCCTGACATCCCCCTGAAACCTCATAATGACTTTGTGGCAGGTTAATCCCATGTCCAACAGACTTTTTGTTTCCTAGTTAACTTTTTTAATGTAGTAAAATATACATGACATGAGCTTCCCAGCTGGCACTAGTGGTAAAGAATCCACCTGCCAATGCAAGAGACATAAGAGACTTGGGTTCGATCCCTGGATCAGAAAGATCCCCTGGAAGAGGAAATGGCAACCCACTCCAGTATTCTTGCCTGGAGAATCCCATGGACACAGGAGCCTGGCAGGCTACAGTCTGTGGGGTCAAAAAATTCAGACATGACTGAGTGAGTACCATATATAACATACAAAGTATTATTTTAACCATTTTTTAGTGTTCACAGTTCAGTGGCATTAAATCATTATGTAGTCACCACTGTCCATCTCCAGGACTTTTTCATCCTAAAGTCAATACCCATTAAATGACAACTCCCCATCCCCTCCTGCCCCAGCCCCTGGCAGCCACCCTTCTACTTTCTAAAGAGTTGAGTCTTGTTGTTGTTGTTGTTTAGTCTCCGAGTCATGTCTGAATCTTTTGCAACCCCATGGACTGTAGTCCGCCAGGCTTCTCTGTCCATGGGATTTCCCAGGCAAGAATACTGGAGTGAGTTGCCATTTCCTCCTCAGGGGATCTTCCTGACCCAGGGATCAGACCTGCATCTCCTGCTTCTGCATTGGCAGATGATTCTTTACCACTGAGTCACCATGGAAGCCCATAGTTGACTATTAATAGTCTCTATGTAGTTGACTGTTCTAGGTGCTTCATATAAGTGGAATAATACAGTATTTGTCCTTTTGTACCTGTCCTGTTTCAGCTAGTGTGATGCCCTCAAGGTTCAGCCCTGTTGTAGTGCATCAGAATGTCATGCCTTTTTAAAACTGGATAATATTCCATTGTATGGAAGACCACGTTCTGTTTATGCATTCATCTGTCGGGGGACATTTGGGTTGTTTCCACAGTTCAGCTGTTATAAACAAGACAGCTGTGAACATTTGTACAAATATCTATTCCAGTCCCTGTTTTCAGTCCTTTGGTACATGTATCCAGAACTGGAAGTGCTGGATCGAATCCTACCTTTAATTGCAGACGGATTTGCTATACTGTTTTCCACAGTGGCTGCACTGTTTCACCATGGGCTTTCCCCGCTTTGTGACCCTTTTCGTGTTCTCACAACAGCCAGCATGGAGGGCATCGTCACCATCGTGGGCCTCAAGCCCGAGACGACGTACGCAGTCCGGCTGGCGGCCCTCAACGGCAAGGGCCTGGGCGAGATCAGCGCCGCCTCCGAGTTCAAGACGCAGCCAGTCCGTAAGTACAGCCCGCTGCCCGGCTCATCCCCTTGGGGTGGGGGGACCCATCCAGTGTCCAGATGACAGCTTTTTGTCTTTACAGGTCCCTCTGCTCACGGTGGTCCCACCTCCTAGTTCTCTGGCCCTCAGCGGCGGCCCATACCACTCCCTCTGTTCTCACTTTCTCAAAGGGCTTGGTGACACAGTCTAATAGCTGGTCCAGCTTGTTAGAGGGGCAGCTGGGGCAGAAAACCACGCACGTGTGTTATTAGAGGCACCGAGGAGACTCAGGGCAGCGTGGTGGGGACAGAGTTTGGAGATTTGCCCTTTGTCACAAGGGCCCTAGGGGCTTCCCCGGGGGCTCCGTGGTAAAGAATCCGCCTGCCAGTGCAGAAGACTTGGGTTCAATCCTTGGGTCAGGAAGATCCTCTGGAGAAGGGACTGGCAACCCACTCCAGTACTCTTGCCTGGGAAATCCCATAGACAAAGGAGCCTGGTGGGCTAGGGTCCATGGAGTTGTAAAGAGTCAGATACCACTGAGAATCTGAACGCACACCCATGCACACACACACACACTCACACAGGCTCTAAGCACCTGGTGACTTGAAGGAAGACAGTGAAGGCAGTGATGGTTGGCATAATTAGTTGTGGGGTTTTAATGAAGCAGAGATATCCAGTTACAGGGGAACAGAGCCTTCTGTAGGATAAATGAGCAGGAGTAAAACCCCAACAAAATAAAGAAGGGAAAAATAGCCTCTGTCATTCCTACCCCTCCTCCTTTTCAGAAGCCCTTTTGGGGTCTACTTGGTCACAGCCTCTTACAGGAGTCCCTTCTTCCTGATCCCATTCAGGGTTGCAGTTCTGTTTTCCTCCCTTGCCCCCTCTTTCCTTAAGCCAAGCCTGCCATACTTTTCCCTCCCTCCCCACACATAGCCAAGCTCTGGGTGAGCCCTGGTCTAGGTCAGTCCCTCCACAGATGCAATTCCTCCCCAGTGAGGATGGTGAGCCCATCCAGGTGAAGAAGATGCTATAGCAAGACTCCCCCAGTGCTCACAGAGCTCCCTGGGCCCCCCTCTGAGTCCTGAGTCAAAAGGCATATGGGAGAATCCTCCACTTTCTTCCCTATGGGGTCAGGGGCCTGCAGAGTAATCCCCCTGCCTCTTTGCAGAAGTAGAGAGCCTGTCTCATCTTCCTCCTACAGGAATTGCTTCTCTCTGGATTTGAAGTAATTTGATAATTTGCATTTCCAGCTCCGTGTGTTCTGCAGATCCTATTCATTTCTTTTACATCTTATTTTTTTTTCTTGGGTCTGTCTCTTGTCTTTTCTTTTCGTCTGTGTTCCATCCATGGGATATGCAGATAGCCCTCTTCCACGTAAGTGCCTCTTCATACCTCATTACCTGTTTCTAGAGTGTTAACTTCTGCTAGTTCTAGTTTTTTAATTTAGTTCCAGTCCCTTTTGTCCCCTAGAAGCTGAAGTAGATCATGCCGTCCGGGCCCTAACCACACTGACCTTAGTCTAGCTGTGCTCTTGTTAATGTCTGTAGGTTACTCCAAGAGGCTAACACTAGTCCTGTTTTAGAGCATGCGAATTTTTTGTCTTTTGAAATTGTGTTTATTTATTAATTTCTGTGTGTGACGATTACCCTGTGGCAACATTTTGCTGAGCCAAATGCGGTGGAGGTCTGCAAAGGGCCTCTGAATAAGGATATGACATTGTCTCACCATTAGCCAGGATGCCAAAAAAGTAACCACAGCTTCTTCAGGCCTCTATTCAGAATTCCTTCATGGGCCCGAGAACCCAGAAGGCTTTTCACACTTGCTTTTAGGAGGTGAAAGGACTGAGCTCAGTTCACCTCCCTTTTCTGTCTGGCAGGTGGTAGCTGAAAGTCTGTAGGAGCATGGGTGGGGGACCCCACGCAGCATGAATGGGTTTGCATCACGGGTACCTCGTGCAGGGGAGTTAAGCCCCCAGTTTAACTGGTGAACTCTGTTCTTTAGCACTAGGTTACTTGCAACATGTATTTCCATGTTTGGGAAAATCCACCTGTGATACAGGAGATCCAGTTCGATCCCTGGGTCAGAAAGATCCCCTGGAGAAGGGATAGGCTACCCACTCTAGTATTTGTGCCTGGAGAATCCCATGGACAGAGGAGCCTGGCGGGCTACAGTCCATGGCGTCGCACAGAGTCAGACATGACTGAACGACTTAGCACACATGCACAGAGCCAGCTGCTTAGTAGCAGTATTGCCAAGAATGAGGAAAAGGGGTGATTCTCCCCAAAAAGGACGTCCTGATTTTGTAAGCTGTAAGTAGTGGAACTGGAAGCAGGAGTAACAGGAGCATCTCTGCTGCTCCAGGAGCAGAACCGCAGTCCGGTTTCTACCTGCATAGATGTCCCCAGGCTTCACGTCTGCTGAGGCTCGGCTTCTTCCCAGGCTGAGCTCAGAAGGGTGGAGGGAAGTCTTCAGCAGCACATTCTTTTCATGGAACGCTCCTAGCTCCTAAAAGGCACTCAGGGAAGCTTATCTTTTTGAAATTTACTCAGAAATATTGCAGCACAGCAGAAACTAAGTAGCTCGGTGTAGGCATTCTGAGATATTGAACAAGGGCTAAATCTACTCTCTCAGCAGAGTTGGTCCCTGAATGAGCCAGTTCTGGAAGGAGTCGGATAGAGTGGAGTGGGGATGGAGCTGTCAGCGAGGACTGACAGCTGTCTGCTCTGGGCCGACCGCTCAGCTCTGCCCTCAGAAGGCTCAAGGGCACCTTCCTCCTGGATCTTTAACCCAGTCCTCAGGCACCCACTCCTCTGGATTTTACCCGTAAACAGTGAGACCTACCCAGTAACCAGGGTTTGAGTACTGAACCTGAGTAACTGGGTCTTGAACTTCAAAGGTCATAAGTAGTTTTCATTCGTTTCCAGTCCAGCCTTCTTTAAGGTGAGAACTTTTATAGCAGACACTGTTTTAAAAGCCAGTGTTTAATATTTTTTTAAAAGGAGACCTCTAAGTTTTGTTGTTTGTTATCTGCCAGTATGAAAATGGATGATTAACCAAGCAAGATTCCAAGAAGTCCTTTGGAAAATGGTGGGGTCAGTCATTCATTCCAAGTCAGTCGTGAGTAATGCAGCAGCAGGCATTGCTAGTGACATGAAAAGTCAGTTTTCTCAATCACCTAACTAAATTATGGTTTAAAGAATTAAAAAGCAAACCTCTTTTAGACAAAGAGAACATGGCAATGTTTTAGAGTTGAACATGAATTAGAAAGCAAACCTCTTTTAGACAGAGAAAGCATGGCACAGTTTTAGAGTTGAACATGAATTAGAAAGCAAACCTCTTTTAGACAAAGAGAACATGGCACAGTTTTAGAATTGAACATGATTTGTTTCTAGAACTTGAGCAGGGTTAAGAGATGATTATACTGTCTCTAACATTGATCGTTATGGTCTTTCCTCACACCTCCATAACCTTCCTAGGGTTGAAGTGAGGGTCTTGCTTTAAAGATAACCTGTTGTGCCTAAACCCATCCTGAGAAAAGTTACAGTTGGAAGGAAGATGCCAGCATTTCCCACTGCCAGGACACAACCCAATTACTGCTGCTAGGAAGTGAGGATACGTTTTCGGAAGGACCTTCTCTGAGTTCTCACTCCCATTCCTTGAAAGGCACAAAGGTTATCTGAACTTAAACAAGATCAGCCATCTGTTTGGCTGCAGGCTTACGCCAAGCCCAAGAACCAGGGGCATCTGAGGCTGGCTCATCTCACCCACGGACAGTGCATTCACCTCCTGTGATGCTGGGATACAGGTGCACAGACTGCTTCGGTGGCCCTGGAGGTGGGCCCTGAGTACACCCTCAGGTCTGAGGAAGAGACAGGTCAGGGTCAGGAGGAGCTGGCACCCTGCACAGAGTTGCTGCTGCTAGCCCCCTGAGTTGGGAGGTGTAGGGGAGAGCCATTTGCTCATCACTTGAAGTTGCTTGAAATGTCTCAATATTAGGGTCGCTTCATGATTCCTTAATGGTCTCCGCCGCATTCAGGGGCATGAACATGTCACAACAGAGATGAGCAGATGAAACTAGATAATACCACCAGTATCTCAAGGATTCCTGCTTTGGAACTACCCAGTTAGAAAGCCTGGCTTACCTGCTTCTGTGAAGGCAATGAAAGCCGAGGCTCCAGTGGGACAAATGGAACTCCAGCCTGGGAAGATGTCCCTGTTTCATGTATTTCGAGGCCAGGTGTCTGCATGCTGTCAGGAAGCTCTTAGGTGGAAAGCTCATGACCTCTGTTTGCCCTGGGAGGGGCTGCTTCCTTCTTAGAGCTACTAAAGGCCTAAAGAAGTGACATGATAATTTATTATGACTCTTTCCTCCATGGATGAACCACACACCTTCAGAATCTCATTGCCTGAATCTTACCTCTTCAATTGCTTCTGTACCGTGAAGTGAAATAGACAATTTCTTACAGGGTATAAAGATTACAAATGAGTCTCTACTTTTCAAAAGCAGCATCTTGAAATTTGTAGTTTCATATTTTGCCCCTTAGATGGCACATGGCAAATATGTTAATGCATTGTAATATATTGTGATTAAAGTATATAAAACCCCATCCCTCAGTCAGAATAATATGGACAACTGTACACACAATTAACCCCCCCCCCAAAAAAAAAATAAAAGAGAAAGAACTCGAGAAAGAAATATACACACTTTTATCAGAATTAACCAGGCTGCCAAGTCATGATGAGTTAGTAGCCTGTCTTGCTCTGGTTCCAGTGACATTGTTCTGGATGGTTTAATGAGGTACCCTCATCTAGAAGGTAAGAGAAAGACCTTACCATGAGTGTCAAGACAGTGTTGGAGATAGGGTGACGTTTTTCCAAATTTTTATCTAGCTCTCAAAGGGGCCTGTTTTCTGTGATTGTTGATGGAACAGCTTCTGAATATTTGCCATTGAAAAATTAAAGATCCACTCAGTGTCCAAAATGTCTCAAATGCACCATTTCTAAAGGTTCACCGTGCAG